CGACAATAGAGCAGTCGTCGACGCGTTTAGGAAGGGCAGATCGAGTAACCCCATCACTCACTCGATGCTGATTAGCCTTACGAGCTGCAAATCGAACACGGATTTTGGCTCACATTGAGGTGGGTACCGTCAGCGGCAAATTGCGTCGCCGACGACAGCACACGACCAGCCCGGCACGAAATTATCCGACTTCGATCACGTGTGGTTGAGCAGCTGCGCGCGTTGTTCGGAGAATTTACGGTCGATCTTATGGCGTCTTCCGAGAATGCTCAGTGTACCGATGCGGGGGGAGCCGGGGGCCCATCCCGTCTGCCGTTTTTCTCACGGTATCACTGCGAAGGCACGGCCGGAGTGGACGTCTTTAGCCAGGATGTAGCAATAACACCGGGGCTGGGCAAGCCGGCCTTCGGGTATTTTTTCCCGCCCCCTGTCATGGCGGGGCACATTATTCAACATCTGTCCGAGTGTCGAGCTCACGCAGAAGACCTATGGCCAGATGTACGAAATTTTTGGTGGCCGCGGGCCGCACGGACCGCCGTCAAATCGTTAGTGTTACCGAGGACGGGGAGTTTTGGATATCCCCACCATCAGGACATTCGTTCGCGATGACACTTATGTACGACACGGAGCGGTGGAGTTGGATTTTCGCGATAAACGATACGGTGATTATTGTCGCCCCTCTCCTTGTTCGTGTTCGCCTCGCCGTGCCTGCACTATCATCAGCATTATGCGGCGGGGACCCTCGAGCGGGTCCCCTCCGGATCCACGCGAGTACAGGACCGGATACCGCAAGTATTGTGTAGTACGTGTGGGGCCCAGAACGATGCCACATTCAACTTCTGCCAACCCTGTGGTACTCCACCGTTTCGGGGGCTTTTAGAACCTCGAGCGCCCGGGGCGACCGTGGTCGTCGATAAAACCCGATTGGCCGAGCGGAAAGAGACCGTCTTAGCATCGTTGAGTAGTAAGGCCAGTCAGCAACGCAAATGTGCTGTGGCGGACAAGTTTGACGCATTTCTCCGAGCGCACACGAACGGGATGCGAGGATGGGAAAGTGCTACTGATGTCGACGTGCAGAATTGACTCTGCTGGCTAGATTCTCATGGTAACGGTACGAAGGTGGTTCATGCGGTAGACTGCCCCCAGATCGGGTCCAAATCAATGGCAGCATGCAGCAAGGAGAGTACCTGCGCTAAACGGTACGCTGCTCAAACACTAGACAAGGCGTTTGTGTCGAAACTCAACTGTGCGATGTCTGAGATTTTGGGGAAGTCGGACCCATGGGATGAGCGTGAGAAGAGAGGTAACGCAGCCGACAGCACGGCGGTTCGGAAGTACCTGTCGTGGGTTCAAGAAGAACAGCGCAGGGTGGCCGACCGATGCTAGCCCCGCTACTGCTGCGTCTTGCGCGNGGTCCAAATCAATGGCAGCGTGCAGCAAGGAGAGTACCTGCGCTAAACGGCACGCTGCTCAAACACTAGACAACGCGTTTGTGTCGAAACTCAAGTGTGCGATGTCTGAGATTTTGGAGAAGTCGGACCCATGGGATGAGCGTGAGAAGAGAGGTAACGCAGCCGACAGCACGGCGGTTCGGAAGTACCTGTCGTGGGTTCAAGAAGAACAGCGCAGGGTGGGGGTTACCGTCAAGCAAGCCCGACCGATGCTAGCCCCGCTACTGCTGCGTCTTGTGCGATACATACGCAATACCGCGAGCCACTTGTACACGGTGGGCGAGCGGGTGGCCCGTAGCCGAGACATCGCGTTGTTCGTCACCGCCTTTCACACGATGCAACGAGGATTCGATTTGGCATGCGCGTTGGCGGCACAGGTCTTGCACCTTCCAAATGGGACGGGAATGATTTTCAATATTCATTTCGGCAAGACTCTCCGAAGCTCGTCGCACGCGGTAGTAGTTCGACGAGATCGTCAATGTACCGAGCTATGCCCGTTGCGGGCGATACAAGAGTTTTGCATCGCAGCCAAGTCAGCAGGATGGAGCATGCGTGAGGGGTACCTATTCCCCGAGGTCAACGCCGACGGCTCGCGGGGGTCGTCACAGTGGTCGGCGGCGCGTATGACCGCTTCGCTACAAGCTCATATTCGGAACGGCCGCCTTGGCGACGTAGGTGGTCAGTATACCATGCACTCGTTTCGGGTAGGAGGAGCGGTAAGCCAAACGCTAGCGGGGACGGCGGTAGACGCCTTCATGGATTTTGTGGGATGGAAGACGCGAGGGGTTGCACAGCGATATGTAGGGCCCACTACCCAAGGGGGAGAGGCCGTCGTTAGGAGCAGGAACGGTTGTACATGGAGACCGTCGACCTCCCGTTGCAGGAAGGCTTTACGGAACGCTTTTCGGCTTTCGGATGACAAAGCCATGAGATACGGTAGCGGGGTCGTCGATGGAGAAGTATGGGGATCAATTAAGGCCACGACAGGGAATAATGACAGGTGAAAACATGAAGTATGGGTGGGTCCCATGCCGTGGCAGGAGGCCTCATTTCATCCCAAACTCTACATCGTCGACAACTATTCCGCAGTAAAATAATGTCGAAATGATGGAACCATGAAGGGGTTAAGTGGGTGAGAACAGATGATCTGCAACAAAGGCTTGGAGAGAGCGCCCACTCGTGACAAGCCTCCCCAACCCTAACGGAGGAAAAGTACGGTAAGAGTAACAGCCGTCCCACCCGCCCAACTATCTATGCTGTATTTGATTATGTTAACTGGGGTAATTACTCTCTGCGCGACTGCCGCGTTGACGACACGAGGGACGCGTCAACGCGGGGGTAGTCACCCTGGGTGGAGTCTCCAGGCTTTTCGTGGCAGGAGGCCTCATTTCATCCCAAACTCTACATCGTCGACAACTATTCCGCAGGAGAAATACTTTTTTTCTTGAACGTTGGGCGGGTCGTCCAAGTACTGTACCAGCAATTTTCTCACCTAGGTACACGATAGGGTTTGCGCCGCCAAATATCAAGTCTCCGGTTCCCACACGGCAGAGAAGCTGGTAGGTTCCAAACTGGAAGGTCACTGACATTGGGGAAGGTCGCGAACCTGCACGCACATGCTCGCTCCTGCTACCGTAGCTTGCAAGCCGAGGCATAGGGCAGTGAGTCCTGCGGCTGGAGAATTCCCACACCGAGGCATCCGTGGCGTGAAGTGATCGCTCCTCCCGCGATTTGCCGTTGACTGGCTGGCTTGTTGTGGTACAGCGTACCGGACAACGCACAAATTACACCACAATGTATTGCTGTGTAGACTAGCTGTCAGAATGTTGATGATGTTCCCTTTTATGTCACCTACGTAAACCAAACACTTACACCCCGACGGAACCAAGTCATCTCGTATCGACAATATTGCGGGATCAAAGAGTATTTTCTCAATGCAATGTTATGGGGTACACCCTAACTGCACAGCAATCAATCAATGTTGAGGTATGGAAGCCTTTGCTCCATCGGCCGTTTCGTTTGTATGACGGAGAATAAGGAGGTAAAATTACTTGCAATTAGTATGGACATAAAGTTTGTGTATCTAGACTAAATCGAAAATAAGACGGCCGATGGAGCAAAGGGCAAGCAAGGTATGGAGTAACACTCGCGATGCGCGATGCGGCGGAACCAGTGTCGCTTCGGATGTTGATTTGACCGCATTCCGCATTCCCACTGCCGATGCGATTGCTCGATTGTTCCATTGTGGAACACCTCGTTTCCTTCGCACCACTCCAGAGTGATTCACGGAGCTGGCCTACTGCTGTAGCTTCCTCAAGCTGAAGCTCTCACTCTGTACATTTTGTCGTCTTTTCGTGTTGCTGTGCTTCTGTCAATGGCAAACCCAAGTCGCTGACGAAGAAGGCGTTCCCGACGTGGATACTGCTCTGCACAAATAACTACGAAGTTCCCAAATACCCAAGGTTCAACGCCGACAAGAAGCCGAATGTGTAGCACCTACCAATGCTCCAATGCTCGGGATATGCGCTCTTTTAGTAGTCGAGCCTTGTCGTATCCGCGGTGTTTATTGATCAAAGGCTTGTGCTGAAACCTCTTTTCCCCTCATTTCCTTCCCCCCTCCGTCCCCTTCGACCTCTTTTTCGCAACCTGCCCGTCGATGTTGTCTGTGCGTCAAGGAGACGACTGACTGCTGCTGCTCGTGTCGTTTTCCGCCAAGCATTGCCGGCAAGCAAGTTCACAGGGCACATTATTTTTGTGCCCCGCTCACACGTGTTGAAAATAATACTTATTTGGTGAACCCGGTGGGGCCTCTGTGGTCTAGTATTCTACTAGTGGTGAATCCGCTGGCAACACAGCAGTCGTGAGATCGGATCTCCATAGAGAGGGAAAATCACAAGAATTGCTTTGTGGGTGAAAGCGGAAAGCAGCAGAAAAGCTCTCGTGAGTACCAAACTTCGACGTTAGCATCGTTAACGAGGGAGACGGACGGCTGAACCCTTCTCACGATAAAAAATAAAAAGTCGGGTCACGAAAACAAAAAAGCCCCTCCCTGTCTTTACCCCCTCCTGTGCGACCCTGGATGGTTGGAGTTGAACGAAAAAGTACAGCGAAAAATGTAGTCTAGTACACGTCTCACCACGAAAATGGGGGGACTGTCTGTTGTCAAAATAGATAAGACGAAAACACACAAAAGCACCAAGAGCACACTCTTTACCTTGGTACACACTTGCGCAACCCAGACAAATCAGGAGGGATGCGTCGAGTCGAACGCCATCGAAAAACAAGGGACATTGCTTCGCTGTGAACAAGACACATTTCTGTGTTTCATGCTGCCTGCTACATCCACCGACTGTGCGCAGGAAGATAAAAAAACATGTAGACTATGCTGTAGTCTTTCTGTTTTGTCCTTCTCACCTGTAGACAGGAGCTCAACAGCACAAACGCGATGCTGGCATGATGGTACCGAGAGTGCGTGGTGTTCGTGCAATCCACAAGCGAACGAGTTCCAGGAAGGTACGACCCCGTGCGGAATACCTACCACGAGGTGCCTACCAGCCATGCATCCGCACCAACGACATACGCAAGGAAACGAGCCCGATTACACCTTGGAAGACAAGGATATCCACCACATCCTGGGCGGGATGGGGGCCACTTTCGGCAGACGTTCGAAAGGGGTTAGGGCTTCAGACTTGAGGCCTTGCCTCTCCAAGTGAGACGCTCGGAATCTTGATACAACACAGGTACCTCCGTCGGAATTTCATTTCATTGTACCTTCCAAAAAAGCATGCGCTCCGTTACACGAATCCACGACGAATTTGTCGCTATGATAGAACACAAACAAACCCAAGATAATGACAACAAGAAAGATTATCGAATTGCATAAAATATTCAAGAAGCTAAACAAAGTGGTCGACGATAACAGCAGCTCGTACAAGAGCGAGGGCAGGAGGCACAAGAAACAACAGGAGCAATCCACTGAGCACCACGAAGACGGCAAAAGGGAAAGAACCTCGAAAGAATGCACGCAACGCCCAAGCCACCGTCAAGGTGGCCCGATTGATACGTTGCGATCATTCACCATCCGTCTCTCTGAGCAATCTGGCAATGAGTCGGTCTACTATCGGTGCTGCGTGGCAAGGCTTTACAACAATACACGAGGCGAGAGCGCGCACGTGATCGAGTGGACACCTACTGGTCGGCACGCGGGCGGCTCGACCAACCCCGTAAAAAACTACTCCTAGCCTGGACCAAACGTTGTAGCTCTACACTAATAACAACAGCAGCGGCGCGAAAGGAGAAGGACTACACATCAATGAGGCACACAATCCTACCACTACCATCACCAAACAAACGGTTGAAGGATGGTAAACAACAGCGCAAACAAGCGTTAAGCCTATCCCCTACCCCCCCTCCCTCTGGCTACTCCACATTTTTTCGTTTCACATGCGGAACCTAAAACGTCACCACACTCCCTTTCCTCATTCTACACGCTCAAAAAAAATACTCTTGGCAAAACTTGTCGCGGGAAACTTCACGGGAAATGTGCACTGACAGCAGTGCTTGCTACTCCCCCGCCCCATGCACTCCGTGGCATCCACTGCGGCGCGCCCACCACCGGAACCATCACGAGGGCATTCTCGTTCCTGAAACAAAAAGTTCGCCATGTGTCACGCACACAAAACGGCCGGTGTCCTGGGCAACGTGAACGGAATGAACGGACAGCGCTCTCACCGCGCTCATGGGTGTTTGGCCATCAGTTGCCGCACGGCAAGACAGAGGCCGAACACATCATCCCTCACCCGGCCCTCTCGTCCTTTGGCCCAAGAGCCTCGGCGGGCAATAACCCCGCAGAGAAAAACCCAAAATCCAACCACGCACCATGCTCTACACAAATTCGGCCGGCGGCGGCGGTGGGGTAGGGGGGGGCGGGGGGCGGGAGGAGAGGGATAGCTGATACGACCACACCGCAAAACGGATCTCTACCATTGTGTGCTTGCAAAAAGGTGTAGACGTCACATTCCCTGCACATCCAACCAAAATACGATACGTACACAGACCAGACGAGACAGGATAAGTTCAACACCGGCAACAAACTATTCTCAAGACAATAGACGAAAGAGGGATCAAATTAGCTGATAGTACAAGCATAACGGCGCCGCACAAGGGGAGGGGAGCAACGGAGATAAAGACCAAAACAAGAGAGCGCCTATCCATCGTGTAAACGGATCGGGTGTCTCTCAAAACACGGCGCGGGGCCCCTCCTGCACTGCAACATAGTCGCCAAGGCTACTACACTGCCCATGCCCTCCCCTCCCCTCCCTCTTTTTAGTACTCGTACAAGAGACGAGAACACTGCCGATGGTGCCCTCCCTCTTTTCCAGTGTACTTATACAAGAGATAAACGACAAAAATCATCAACTGTAACAAGGTACCTACCGCAACTACCCACACCATAACGAGTTACAGACTACCGGCGTTCTGAGTCGGCGCAGCAGGACGGCCGGTTTGACACACGCAGGAGCGAAGCACAACACACCCAAATGATGTCATCTCCTTCATTACGCTGGGCGGTAAATCCGCCATGGGCAAGGGTGGCCGTGTCGCCCCCTCCGTCTCCTTCCAAGATCGAGGTGTCTCACGCTCCCTCCTCCTCTTCTTGAAATATCGACACAAGCCTCCGTCCAAGTGGCAGGGTTGTGTACCCCCAGCAAGAGGCGAATAACCCGTATTCCGCGCGCATGGGGTGTGTAGGTGACGCGGGAGCAATAGAGTGATGGCACAAAACCCCAGGGGGTGTGACACTCTCTCTTCCGAGGTCGAGAGCCGGATACCATTCCCCCCCCCTCTCCGTCAAAGCCGCAGACCCCCCCCTACATGCTTCCGTTCACAGACGCCATAACGCTTGCCTAGCAAGTAAAAATCCCCATCGTCAAACTATTCAGCCCGCCCGCCCGCCCTCCCTCCCGAGCCCCGCGACCAAGGCGGTCCCAGGAAAGAGGTCGCAAAAGTCAACCACACTCTAGGAGCTTCCCGATAGCTTTCCGACCCACGCGGTCAGCGCTCCCACGACGACAAACGTAAACGCCGAGGAGAGCCAGCCGCGGCCGGCCGCGCCCCCTCCCCAGGGCGTGGCGAAGGCGGAGGACCCGCTGTCCGTCAGGATGGCCTGGTAATCCGCGGCGTTGATGTCGAAGTAGCCGTTGCCGTCCCCCACCTTGAAGAGAATGTAACCGTCTTCTCGCTCGTTGATGTTGTTGCAGTAGATCGACATCCGTACCGTTCGGTTGAACAGGGCGCGCTCAAGGTTGGGGCTCCAGGGCTACCCACCATAGGGTTGGTTGGAGAATCAAGGGAGGGGGGGAGTTAGATGGGCTCGCATGCGGTCCGTATGCACTACCGAGGTCGAGAGAATGCGTGTCATAACCCCGATAAAAACCACAATCAATAATCAGAAATCCAGTTGGATACCGGCCGGAACACCCCTTCATCGGTTGCACCATCCAGGGGGGCACCGGCGTCCGGACAAAAAATAAACAAAGAAAAGGGAGAGATAGGAACGGCTTCGCCAAGTGTTGGGCGAGCCGTGAAACCACGGCAATTCTTCTTCACGTGATTCGTACAACACCATGATCCGAAACAGACGCGGCGCTGCTGTACCGTACAAGTATGCATACCACGCAATAGGGGGAGAAGTCTCTCGTGGGGGCAAAAGACAGATAAGGCGCTCGCGGCAGAGACCGCCGCAAAAAAGGCGAGACACTGGACTACGTAGAACATGGGCGGCGTTTTACCATGGGGGTGGCTAGTACCCCGTAGATCACTCCGTGGCCAGTCACGTCTTAGGTCCCAACCAACCGGACACACTGCAAACCACAAAATCACCCCAAACACTCCGCGGGCAGCCGCGCACACGCCGGGACATACGCAAAGAACAAAGCCGCCGGAAGACCAGCTTTCTGCTACCGCCGGGACTCCAAGCCACCAGCAAGAGACCCAACCGCGCCTAACAAGCTTACCGCCTGGATCTTTGCGATGTTAAGGTGGTCCTGCTCCGTGGCGTAGAAGACGTGCGTCATGTTATAGGTATTGCCGTCGCTGCCCGTGTAATAGTAGTACCACTCTCCGTCTTCTCCCAAGTACTCCGACTGTATTACCACAAGGGCAAGCAGCAGCAGCAGCAGCAAAAAAAGAAGCGAAGGCGAGAGAACCCCGAGAGAGGAAAGTCAGAGGTGAGGAAGGGTACACGCGGTCGAGGTTGAGTGAGTGGCAGGTGGCGATAAACAACCGAGAGTTACGCAATGCGTGGGGTTCAGCGGCTGATGGGACTCGGGGGCGGGGGTGGACTAGACAAAATGGAAAATAAAAAAACGAACCGCACCCCATTCTCTTACTCCCAACCTTACTCCCAACCAACCACCTCTAAGACATCCACCTATCGGCAACAGAATCGAACCCAAGCCTCACGCTCTTCGCCCATTCTGACCCACCACCACCATCACCACTACCTAAAAAAACTGCCAGCGCAACAACCTATCCGCAACTACTGCTAGCCCCAACGCTTTCCCTCATCCCCGACGTCCATCTACCGACTCACCACTTCCCCGTTACAGCCTTCGTCGGTTACACTCCCGTCGATGTTTACGATCGGGTTGCCCTCGTTGAGCCAGACGTCTCCCGGAGAGTAGGCGCCGGCGAGGGGCAGCACGACACCCGGCACCGCCGGCTCTTCGAAGCGGTAAAGGGCGCTCTCAAGCAGCTCCTTGTCAACCTCGGGACTTTTTTTTTTTTTTCAGTGCGTGTTGTAGTAGGAGGAGGAGGACGGAGAGGAGACGAAGGGGCACACACAGAAAAAAAATGGGGGGGGGAGTGTGGTTTGAGGGTTTTGGTCCTTAGACGCGGACCGAGTTCCCTACACCGATTCATGCTACTACTGCGGCGGCGTGCCATTGTCCTTGCACGGCATCGATCACTCTTGTAAATACACAACTTCGGACACAGTTTGGAGCAAAGGGTCTTTCGTATTTGTTTAGAGCCGATTTCTCCACGAACTCGCACGACACACACGCCCACACGGACAGCTCAAGCATGCCTCGGACTTCCACCACCGGACGATGAAAATGTTCGAGTCGCCTGGAAAAAAAGGTGGCATCTACTGTCGTAACTACCTTACGACGGAGATACACCTGCTTGTGTCAACGTACCCACAGACCCAGCAGGGTCACAGGGCACCAGCTCAACCAGCCAACCCCGATTGTTGGGGTGTCAGCCCACCATGTGGTCGTTCGTTCAGCTTGCAACACCCACAAGCCGTGCGCATTGCTTCAAGATTGGGATCTGTTCTTAACGACAACACCAACGCCTTAAACCCTAAACCCTAACCCTAAGATTTGGACCTGTTCTCCACGACAACACCAACGCCTTAGACCCTAACCCTGATTAGGATCTGTTCTTCACAACACCAACACCTTAGACCCTAACCTTAACCCTAAGATTAGGATCTGTTCTTAACGCCAACACCAACGCCTCAGACCCGACCCTACAACACCCTGCTCTTAGACACAGTCGTATCCCCGTTTTTTATGCATGGGACACTCACAAATTTTCGTCTTAACAAGGCGTGCAAAAACCGGGGGACGACTGCCTGTATGAAAAAAAATACACCCCCTTGCAGCATCTTTACATTCTGCGGGGCACCATGCCTCTGACAAAAATCAGGCCGTACTGTACCTGCCATTGGTGAAATTTAGCTTGAACTGCAAGCACGAGTCCTCCACCGTCACCGTCTGCACCTGGTCGCACGAGAGCGCGACCTCTATCGTCCGGCCGAACAGCGAGTCCGAGATAGCCACCGCCTTGTCCGCCGAGTACGAGTCGATGAAGAGCTCGTGGGATTCGGCCGCGAAAAGCCCCGGGACCGACACCTGTCAAGGATTGACGTTTGTCGTCGTCGTTGTTGTGGTGATTGTTGATGTTGTCTTTGTTAAAGCTGAAAGAATGAAATACACAACGCGAGATGAACGAATGCCGGTAGACTGGTACAACAAAACGCTACGATACTCCGAAAAAAGTCATGCTCTGTCGGCTAGCTCGTACGCTTCATTTCGCTGCCACCCCAGCCGTACCATCTTCCAACAAATGAATCACCTCCGTAGCGTTCTCTGTAGCGTTCGCATCGGGGAAGGTGACATTGGTCGCGTACGTCACATTGTTATCAAGCAGATATCGCCAGGAGTCAACGCTGCAGTTCACCGGGTATCGGCTGTAGACGTGTTCGTTCACTGAAAACGAAAAAAGGGCGAGGCACGAGGGGAGGCGGGGGGGGGCGTGTGTCACGTCAGCCGCGATAGGGAAGGGAGCGGAGGATGGCAACTTTGTCGCATTCCTTTCGGCACAGCTCGAACCGTGAGGCCTTGGTGCTGCATCAACGAGAGCTGCAGGCAAGAGTGCACCGAAGGTTGGCGGGCAATGCAAGAGAAGAGCGAGGAGACGCGTGGCCTTCGCGGGGTGTCATGTCATGCCGCAGGAGGCCTCGCGCGCGGCGATCGATCGCCCTCTCTTCGCGCTCAGCATGAAACCTGGTACATAGCTCGGTGTCGTCGACATCGGCAACCTTTGAAGCTCAACTCCCGAGCAAATAACTTCTTCATATAATTCCCTGAGCTCGAAGGTGCCAGCCATAGGCCGCCCACGACGCCTCTCCCTCCACCAGGAACGTGTCGCCCCCCCTCGGGAAGTTGAAAGGATGGTTTAGGCGTCATGCCGGCCGGCCCTCATCTCGCCGTCCAAAACGATTAGGCGTCGTGTCCACTCTCGGGCGTTCGACTGTTAGTACATAGTAATAGATCTTGCCGTCGAACAAAACTATACCTAGACCCCCTTGCGGTCCTGGATGCTCACGCACGTCTCCGTCCCGACGCCCCTGACGTGACACATCTCTGTGGCGCCGAGCTTGGAGCTCGATATAGCGTGTATTATAAGGAAAAAATACGAACCTCAAAAGGGATAAAAATCGGAAACATCATGGGACGACGACGACCCACCGCCCTTCCTAGAAACTATTCGAGCTCCCGATTGAGAAAGAAAGAGGCCAACCCGTGTGTTCCATGTCCTTCCAACCCATGCTCGCGCTTTCCACAATTCCGAGTCCCTTGCTTGGGCCGGGTTCCCAAAATAACCATTCAAGCTCCCGATTGAGGAAGGGAGAGGCCAACAACCCGTGTGTTCATGTCCTCTGAACCCATGTTCGCGCTTTCCACAATTCAGAGTCCCTTGCTTTGGCCGGGTTCTCATAGACACTGACTTCTTTTCGAACGCCAGAGCGCCGTGAGTGTACTGCTGTACACATCTCGACTTCACGGTAGAGGCAAGGCTGAACCCCTCCCGCTACGATATGGTTAACGTGTGCAGCAACGGCTGTTGCTTTACTCTCAAGTCACAATAGCTGTCTCTTGTTGCGAGACAAATCTGAGCACATGCATATTCTGTAACCTGCTGCGGGATACAGTCGAACCTCGCTTAAGTTAACACATGGTTTTTCCCGAAAAAAAGTTAACTTAAGGCGAGGAAGTTAACTTAAAATTCAGGGGACCACAACTCACCATCCCCGGGGCCAATAGAGGCGGTGAATACCTCAATAGACGCGCATTGGGCTCCACTACGTGTTTGACGAGAGAGGAGACTGAAAAAAGTGAGAGGGAGCATATTTTTATGTCCATTTTACTAAACAACACTATAACCAAGATGCTATGTTGGAACGCTTGAACCCACGCACACATTTCTCGTCGATCGCAATGTACAGCCACTCCTGTGTAGTAGTCTCATGCGGTCCCACGCATTCAAGACATACATAGGCCACCCCAAACACAGCTCTGGTCGTTTGTACCGCACACTCTACGACCTCCACATGTCGCGCAGAGTTGCCTGCAGCTCCCCCCCCTCCTTGGCTCGCCGCTTCACTTGAGTTTCGTGAGTGAACGAATGCACAACTTTCGAGAGCAGGTACTGGGTCTCGCGGTACTCCCCATCCTTTCCGTTCGCGTACAAGTAGGAGCAAACCTTCTCTAGGCTACCGCGAACTTCGGCCTCTGTCATCGAAGATGTTACGCACGACTCTGGTCTACCCCCACCATCTTCATCGTCCGTGGAGTCCGGTACCGTGCATGTAGGCTCCTCGCATCGTTTTTTGCCAGGCGCAGACGATGCACCGCTGGATGGAAGGAATCTCTCCATACCCACAGACAGCAGGTGCAGCAGCAGACCTCTTATTGGCGGTCTACAGAGCAGTGAGAGCACTGC